CCACAAACTGAGTGGAGGTCATCTTGGTCCCTTGATCTGTCTAGACAGTCCACTTCAAAGGCACTGTCTGAATTATTCAAACTTGGTTCAAATTAACTGGGTGATGGTCCAGTCTCCATTATGTTTTTGACTATGTAGGTGCAAACTAACAGTTTACGGGAGACAAATGCTGAAGGAGGGCGGGGTTAAGAAAGCTGATGAAACTTTGTGTGGATTGGTAAATGCTTTTCTGTCATTTCTCTGATTCACATTTCCTCTGCCTTCATCACCTCTTCCCTGGATTAGTAGAGTAGCCTCCCAGTTGAGCTCCATACTTTCAGCCACTCTCCTCTCTAATCCATCTACACAATTACCAGAATAATTCTTCTAAGGCACAGGTCTAAATGATGTTACTTCCCTGATCAAAAGCTTTCAAGCTATTTATTGCTTACAACATAAAATATGGATTCTTTTGATTATAATTCCAGGCTCTCTACATTCTGACTCCAGCCTGTCTTTTCAGTCTTATTTCATCATACTCCTGTTGCCATACCTGATATTGCAGTCACATTGGATTATTCGCTCTTTCCTAATCTTGTCTTGCCCCTTCTTGTCTCCTTGTGAGTCCCCATATGTAGAATGCACTTGCTATTCATCTCTACCTGTTGAAATCCTTTCTTCATTCAAAGTTGTCCTTGTCCCACCTGTGCATAGGAGTATGCTAGGGCTAGAACTGGATTAGTTCTGGACCCTATTCCTTTTGCTCTCTACATTTTCTTCATGATTTCGTTAACTTATATGGGTTCAATTATTATCTCAGGCACCATCTATTCAGATGATTCCTAAGTCAGTGTATTCAGTTCTCATCCTGTATGTCCAACTGCTTGCTAGCCATCTCTACCTGTGTGTCCCACAGCCATCTTAAATACATGTCTAAAATGGAACTCATTGTTTTGTTCTCTTAAACCTACCCCTTTCCTTCCTTTCTCTGGGTTTTTTGAGGGTACCACCATCCTTCCAGTCACATAAGTTGACAACCTTGAGGTCATCCTCAGCTTTTCCCTTTCTTTCCCCCTCCATATCTAAGCACTTGCCAGTCTTGTCAGTTTGACCTCCATGGCACATCTCTCACATCTATCTACTTACATTACTACCATCCTAGCTCAGGTTCTCATCATCTTTCGCTTGGGCTATTATAATTGCCTCCTAATTGATCTCTCTGCTTCTGGCCTCTTTTCTCTCAATCCCATCTTCCATACAGGTGCCAAATTGATTTTCCTGAAACACAAGTCTGACTATCACTTTTCTTGTTCAAGAAACTGCAGTAGCTCCCTATTGCCTCCAGGATAAAATCGAAATTCCTATGTTTGGCATTTAAAGCACTTAATGACCTGGCTCCATCTTATCTTTCCAGATATATTTATATGCCAGCCAAACTGTCCCTGAGCACTGGTCCTGAAGTCAGGAGGCCTCAGATACTAGCTGTGTGACCCTGGGCAAGTTGCTTAACCCCAATTGCCTCCAAAATTTTTTTTTCTTGTTGAGTTGGACATGCTTTGAAGTGGAATACGTGTTGAACAGGAAAGAGGCTAGGCTTCTTCCACTTCCTGTCTAGAAGGGACAAACCTCAAAACTGAGTTCCTGAAGGAGTCAAAAGGAGAGGCTTCTGCCAATCTACTAAGCTATGGGTCATCATCCTTCCAGAAAAAGCAAAGTAGCAGTTCATCTGAGAAGATGCTAACACCCATCCAAGTCAGAGGCTGGAGAAGATGGTGACTGCAATTGCCCATGGAACAGCAAGCTCAAACAGGCCAGGAGATTGCTACAATTGGGGAGGAGGCCAGCAGCTGAGTGACCTGCTTGGCCCAGTTAGGCAGAAGCAGGGTGATGTACCTAGCATTGGTAACCAGCAGCTGAATAACCTGCTCAACTCAGCCTAGCTGAGATGCTGTGCCCTATGAAGAGCCAGCCCAGCCTAGCAGTAGAATGACTCATCTATGACCCTGACGTGCTGCAGAGTCAATTTCGTGAGGACTGTCTGGGCAGAGAAAAATCAAGGACTTGCATTTCCAGAGTCGTGAACACACATGTGTATTCCCTGCACATGTGCCTCACTACCTTTATAGTGAGGAACTAAGTTCCTGCTAACTAACTCTGTCCCTGTGGACTCTGTGTGTTTGTAGGAGACTCTGCCCCGTGTTGGGAATTTTGGGGGGTGAAGAATGCTTTGTTTTTATTTGTCAAGTACATTTTTATTGGTATCTTTTGTTTTTGTTATCACCTAAATTTCTACCTGTGTCTTGCCTTACATTCCCCTGCAGAAAACCATTCTTTGTAATAAAGAATTTTTTTAAAAGAAAAAATAAAGAGAGGATGAAGAGAAAAAAAAATTAGCAAAATCAATGAATAGCCTAAAAAAACCTGACATCATATGCACACATGTAATCTCTGACTTTTGCAAAACAGCAGGGAGAGAGATCTTCTCATCTTCTTTGGGCTTATTTTTTATTGTTTTGTGTTGTTTCATTTTGCATTGTTGTAGTCTTTGTGTATATTATTTTCTTGGCTCAGCTTACTTCACTTTGTATCAGTTCATTTAAGTATTGCCAGGCTTCTTTTTATTTGTCATATTTGTTATTTCTTACAGCACAGTAATATTCTATTACGTTCCTGCGTTATGATTTGTTTAGCTGTTCCCCAGTTAATGGGTATCTGCTTTGTTTCTAGATCTTTGCTACTGTTATAAATAGTTTGGTGTATATGGAGCCTTCTTTAAAATCAGTGACCTCCTTGGGGCATTCTCCAGCAGAATTTCTGGGTGGGAGGGTATGGATGTTTTGGTCACTTTCTTTGCATAATTCCAAATTGCTTTCCAGAGTGGTTGTACTAATTCACAGCTCCACCAGCAAACCATTAGTACCTATCTTCCTACAATCTCTCCAACACTTATTTCTGTCTTTTATAATTTTTGCCAGTTTACTAGATGTAAAGTTAAACCTCAGGGTTGTTTTGATTTGTATTTCTCTTAACATTAGTATTTGCCACATTGTTTTGTGTGATTGCTAATAGTTTGCAGTTTTTCTTTTGAGAATTGTTTCTTCATATCCTTTGACCACTTATTTTTGGGGGAGTGGCTTTTGTTCTTATATATTTCTGTTAGTTGTCTATGTATCTTAGATATCAAACCCTTATCTCAGAAATTTGATACCAAGTTTCCCCCCCAGTAATCCACTTCCTTTTTTATCTCAGATGTGTTAGTTTGTTTGGAGTGTGGAGTAGGGGGAAAGGAGAGGAATGATCCCCAGCTTGTAGACCTGAAGTGGCTACTCTTGGTAGGAATAGGAAAGAGGAAGAGGGTTGAGATAATGAATTCTGAGTTTGAGTCTCTGCTCTGTCACTTACATCCCTGGGCCTCAGTTTGCTCCTCTTTCAAATGACTGGATTGGACTTGATCACTTCCTAAGGTCCTCTGATCTATGTGGTACTTACTTGAACCCGGGTCTTCTTGACTTGAAGATAGGTTCTCTATCCATTGTGGTGCCATGCAGTCTCTCATAATAAGAATTTTTTTTTGAATTGGACCTGTCATGATACAGGGAGCTCCCAATGAGGAAACTTCCTTTACCAGTGCAGATCAGGCACCTGCTCTGCAACTCTTAGAAAGCTCCCGGGGTCCCTGAGAGGTGAAGTGATTTATTTAGGGTCATATATTCAACATACATCAGAATCAGGACTTAGCCCGGGACTTCCTGACTGAGCTGAGCTCTCTAGCCTCATTGCATCTTGTAAATAATTATTATTGTTCTTTCCCTGAGCCCCTCGGTGTCTTAATCTGTAAAATGAGTGGATTTGAGGAACCTGCTAGCATTAAAGCTTACAGTCATATGAATATCACTTCTGTCTGGGCCTCAGTTTCCTCATCTATAAAATGAGGGGGTTGGACTAAAGCAGGTGTCATGGACCCCTTTGGCATTCTGATGAAGCCTATGGATCCCTTCTCAGAATAATATTTTTAAACACATGAAATAAAATATATTGGATTAAAAGGGAAATCAGCTGTATTGAAATACATTTTCCAAATGTTTTCAAACAAGTTCACAGACTCTAGGTTAAAATTCCCTGGTCTAGATGATCTCTAGGCTCCCTTACTGCTTTAAAGCTTGTGAAAATCCTATAAAAGTCACTTCTTTCTGGGCCTCAGTTACCTCATCTGTAAAATGAGGGGGTGGACTTGAAGATTTCCAAGGTTCCTTCCAGGTCCAAAATTATGTGGTTCAATGATTCAAATGCTCCACCATCCCTAGCATTTTAGTGTGACAGAGTTGCCAGATCCTTTCCAGAGATCTGGCTTTGATGAGGTTCTTGAGCAAACCTGAAAGGATGGGCACCTGCCGGGAGTAGGTTTGGGAATAAAGGACTCTGCAGATGCTATATAAAAGACAGAAGGGGCACATGGAGGGCCTGCAAGAAAAGGCACCTGTTTAACAATTTTGTTATGGGTTGTTGCTGCTAGCCCAATGTTACAATACTGTGTATCATTGGATTGTAGGCACAGGTTTAAGCTAGTGGATCTTATTTTCAGGATAAAGCCCCCAAATGCATGACGGGGAAAATGACCAGCCTCAGGAGACGGCCTTGGATGGGTAGACACCATGGCTTATATGCCCCAAGGCAGCAGTAACTTACCAGCTGCAAAAGCACTGGGCTTCTTTGGAGTGATTATTTCCCTTTCATCAGTAATGAGTCCCAGCCCTTGGAGCCTTCTCCTCTTGTCCACTGCATACACTTTTATTCTGCTTGCATGGTCTGCAGAGTCACACTCCCTTCTATTTGTTAGATTTTCAAAAGAATGCTCCACAGGAAATGGAGGCCTTTTTTCTTTCTCTTTTTTTTTTTTTTTAAGCAAAACTGATTTTAAAACCATCTGAGCTGATGACAAACAAAAGCGTGGCTTAGAATGAAAACGTCAATCCCAGTTTATTGTAGTGTTGTTAACCACAACTCTCCTTCTCCTTCCTCAGGTTCCAGAAAGAACACACACAGAAAATGGGGCTGATCAGATGGCCCCTCACTGCCTCTTTTCTCTGCCATGTCACCAGCAGCCCAGGAATAGTAGAGTGGAAATTTGGAGTTGCTAGAATTGGATCAGAATGTAAGCTCTTTGAGAACAGGTACTGTTTTATTTTTGTCTTTATCCCTAGCACCTAGGATAGTGCCTGACATATAGTAGGCATTTAATAAAAGCTTGTTGATTGAACGACTAAGGTCAAATCTAGACTCTGTCATTCACTAGCTCTGTGATCATGGACAAATCCTTTCCCTTCAGTGGGCCTCGCTTTTTGCCACCATAAAATGAGAGGGTGCTCCAGAACCCCTAAGAGCTCTACCATTCTCATGAGTGCTCACCTTTCTTTCCCCCCGTAGAAATGGGAGCTGGTGTCATTAAAATGAGCAGTGTCCTCAATGTACTGAATTCAACTTCCCTTGTTGGGTTTGTGTGTCTGTGTGATCAGGGTATTCAAGCAGGGGATGGGAGCTATCAGGGAAGCACAATGGATAAGGGGGAGAGGGAATGGCAGTCTACTGGTGGTAGCCAAGTACCTTTCTCTTTCTCACTGCCTTGGCTGAACTGAGATGACCAGGCAGTTTACATCCTTTGGGGAGATTGCCTTGGATCCTGCCCAGGTCCACAGGAAGAGAGACACAGACTAAATACTTGCACCCGAGATTGCTGCACATCCAGGAGCAGAGCCTGCAGCAGGGTCTGCTCTATTTGTGAAACCTCCTGGGTCATTCTTTGGGAGTACCTGTCTCTATCTAGAGACTACGTATTTATCTACTGTGAAAGTTTGCTGTGAATGAAAAAGCCTTGGGAAAGAGCCTTGTTGGTTCCAAATTGCGAGCAGCTTGGGGGAGCTAGACTTTTAGACTCTTTGGCCTGACTGTGTGGGGAAGGAGGATGCTGGAACAGAGACTGGAGGAGAATCCCACAGGTGGGGTAATGTATGTATATGTTGCTGTTGCTCTGATTCATTTCTATCATTCTGATTTAAAAGGTAATATACAAACACATTTGTATAGGGGACATGTTTTCCTAAGAAAGATTGGGGGGGGGGGCTACAAGCTATTGATCTGATCAGATAACAGCAACACTACCCACAAAAGGGTGGAGTCGGGATGAGTAGCAGTCAGTTAATGTCTTAATTGCTAAATCTGATGGCCTTTTCTCAATGGTCATCCTTCTTGACCTCTTTGATGCTATAGATGACCATCTCCTCCTGAATTGTCTTTCTACTCTGGGTTTTCACGATACTCTTTCTGTGGATTCAGGTCATGCCCATCTGAGAGTGTCACCCAAGGTTTTGTCCGGAGTCCTCTTCTCTTCTCCCTGGTTGATCTCTCCCCTCAGTTTCCATAGGTTTGATTATAACCCTCGTGCAGATGATTCTCAGATCTTTATATTGAGTCCTCACTCTTCTCCTGAGCTGTAGTCTGATATTCCCACCTGCCCTTTTGGCGTCAGGAACTGAATAGCCCAGAGAAGTCATCTTAAACTCAGCATGTCTAAAATGCAGCTCGTTGGGTTCTTCCCCAAACCCTCCCCCCTTCTCACCGTTTCTATAGTTGTTGAGGACACTACCATCCTTCCAGTTACTCGGACTCCCAACCTTGATTCCTCACACGTTTAGTTACCATATCTTCTCATTTCTTCTCTAGAACCTTTCCCCACTTACACAGTTGCCACCCTAGTTCAGATCTTTATCAGTTTTGCCCCCCCCACTCTAATCCATCTTCAACACTACTGCCAACGTGACCATGTACCCCTGTCCCACTCCACTCAGTAAAGCCCAGGGGCTTCTTATCATCCCCAGTAGCAAATATAAAATCCTATGTTTGACATTTAAAGCTCTTCCAACCTTGTCCCTTTCTAGTCTTCTTACACTACTTCGCTCCATGCGTTCTGCCATCCAGTGACACTGGTATCCTTTCTGATCCTCCTATACAGCACTTTGTCTCCTGATGCCATGCCTTTTCACTGGCTCTCTCCCATGCCTGAAGCACCTCTCTCCTTACTTCCACCCTTAGATTCTCTGGCTTCTTTGAAGACTTGGCTTAAATCCTGCCTTCTGCAGTAAACTTTTCCTGATCTCTTCTGCCCCAGCCATTCCCAATCCCCCTGCTACTGCTTGATGATCAGGTTTGTTGTTTTTGTTCACTTGTGTCCAACTCTTTGTGACCTTGTGGACCATAACACACTATGCCCTCAACCTGAGGGGCTCATCTTCTGATGTCATGCATTTTAAAAATGTCCGTGGTGTTTTCTTTGCAGCGGTACTGGAGTGGTTTGCCATTTCCTTCTCCAGTTGGTCATCTTTTGTCAGAGCTTTACACTATGACCTGTCCATCTTGGGTAACCCTGCAGAGCATGGCTCACAGTTTCATTGAGCTGTGCAAGCCCATCTGCTAGGGCAAAATAGTGATCCGGTGGGGATGATCAGGTTACCTTTCATCTACTTGGTATATGTCTTATATGTACCTGGTTATTTACCTATTGTTTCCCCCATTAGAATGTGAACTTCTTGAGAGAAATGACCATGTTTTTGCCTTTCTTTATATGCACCTTTCCTTAGCAATTAGTACAGTGGCTGGCATGTAATGAATGCTTAAAAATTGCTTGTTGACTGACTGAAAGATGAAATACCCAGGGAGCTTGGCAGTTACCCCAGAGTGCCCTCTAGTGTTGGATGGTTCTCACAGCAGGTGAGGCTAAGGGCTTGATTGAGAGTACATAAGTGCCTGGCACAGTGAGTTTGAGGGGTGTGTATGTATGTGTGTAATTATTTTATTTTGCTTTTCTACTCCTGATGCCTGGGCTTTTAAATCTTTACTCATCACCACCACAATTGGGCTCTCTGTTTTTGACAAGGGAGGAATATCCTTATGAGGAATTGAGTTGCTCTGTGATTCTCTCTCATTAGGTTGTCATAAATCCTGAGACTTGTAATAAATTTGACAGCCCTGTGATCCCATCAATGGGGGGCACTCTTTCTACCAGTGCAGATTATATAATTTGTCACCCCTTTATCCCTTTTTATTTTTCTCTTTGTCTCTATGTACGTTCTCTATAGACGATTTACTCATTGCAGTGAGGGTTGGGGCCTTCCTCTCATTGCTCTCATTTAAGCTTTCGTGGATCCCCAAAGTTGATGATGACCCAAAGATCCACCTTATCTGGCTAGAATACTAGATTCTGGAATCAGACTCTACCTCTTAACTTCTAGTTTGTTCTAGAAACTAAGGAAGGAAATCTTTTCCCACTCCATCTAGAAGGCAGATATTAGAGTTGATCTTGTCTACATATATGTCATACATCTCTCCAAAGCTGATATTTACAGCTCTGGGTGACTTGGGATCTCTCACTTGTTGCCATCTCAGAATATTTCTAGAAGGAAGATAGCCAAGGGAAAAAGCAGAAAAGTCCAAGTCCTTGATGAAGAAAGACTCCCCTTTCAAGCCACATACAAAAAATGATAGCTCCTCCAAGTAGAGTCCCTCCCCCAAGTGTACTAGCCACAGGTGTCGAACTCATGGCTGCGGTTCTCTTGAGTGCAGCAAGAACCATAATTGAGAAATGTTTAACAAAGTAAAAGTACAATATAACATGGATAATGTTAATTTGTGATTTTCTAAGTCAATGTGCAGCCTTCGGGGATCCATTTTTGACATCACTTTTGTAGGTAACCCCCTTTAGTGAAACACATCATCCACTATTCTCCAAGGGATGGCTCTAGAGTCTAGACTGACTGGTGCAGTTTCCCCCCTTTGTCCTTTCAGCATGGTGCCCATGGGCATGTCCGTTTTCCATGTGGGGGTTGGGGGTGGTGTGGGTGTGGGCCTTCAGGCCCTTAGAAGGCCTGGGCTTAAATCCATTTAATATCTGTGGAACCCTGGGCAAGTCACTTAATCTGAGCCTTAGTTCCCTTATGATTAGATGGGTTAGATCTCTGAAGTCCCTTCCAGCACCAGCTGCAGTTATAAATCTGAGTCCTACCTGACAAGAGGCAGCATCTTGGCTAATGTCAGGACATGGGCCCTGCAGCTCAGTAATAATCCACAAGCCTTTATTAAACCCTTACAAGGTGTAAGGCCTTGTCTGTTAGTAAAGATTCTCCATTTTTCTCTGAAATATCCCAGGTAAGATATGCAATCAATCTTAACTCCTCACCGTAGAGCCAACGCAGACACAGCTTTGGGGGAATTGATGTGGAACTTTCTTTTGTCTTTTTTTCCCAAACATTGTTAGAAAGATTTCTTTTGTAAGTATTTTCCTTTTGTGGAATATTCTCCAGAGTAGAATTTCTTCTGAAACTTGAGTAGAGTCAAGGAAATTAATTTTCTCCAGAAGGGTTTCTTTTCTGCATAAATTTTTGTGTGCTGGAGACTTTATTAAAAATGCTTTATTAAAAGATCAAAATGTTAGACAGTAATGAATATTTATTAAAAGTAGAGCTATTTATTATTATCTAGGTGTGTATATATCTGAGGCCACCCATTTATTGCCCAATAAAGGTAAGTGATTTTAATTATAGATATAATTCCATATATATTACATATACATATATATTTGTTCTAGACCATTTCATTGGTTTGGGGAATTTCTAAGATGAAAACTCCTACTAATGCAAATCAACAAGTCCTCTATAATTTACAGTCTTCAGTGTCTGGGGGCCCCTGGGAAGTCTAGGACCTTACTCAATATCACACAGTCAGTCTGTATGTTAGAGGTAGGACTCAAAACTCAGGTCTTTCTGACTCCCCAAGGCCAGCCTGCTATCCACAATATCATCTTGCAAGTTAGAAATTACCCCTAGATTATGATTGGAGATATCTGAATTTTCTAGGATCATCTCTTTCTTTGTAAAATGTTTTGACCAAATAATATTTCATAGAATCAAAGAATCACAGAGTGTCAAGGGCCCTCATAGGGACCCTAACCCTGTATTCTCCTTTACTGTGTTCCAGACAAGTGGTCATTTTAGTGTCCTTTTAAATACCTCTGGTAAAGGGAAACTTACCACTACCACTGCCATTCCCCCACTCCCTTCTCTTGGTCAATTGTGACTATTAAGAATTTTGTCCTCATGGTTCAGCTGAAATCTGCCTTCCCATT